AATAACAATATGCAGATGTCTATAAGGGAGAATATATTTTATCTGTTTTGTTTTGTCCGGTTTCAGCTGACACTTTCCCACTCGTAGGTTTTAGATACTGTTCTTAACAGATACAGAAATGCATTGAACCACTAATCTATAAAGAACCTTGGATTTCTGTTGCATGTCTTTTTCTATGATGGATGACTTTCCTTTTCATGTGTGGCTCTGTCTGTCTATCCCAGGGGGAAATTCACCTGTACTCAGCACAAATTGAAATGGCAGAAGCCAAAAAGTAGCTTTATATATTTATTTAGGAGAATGCAGAAATGCTGAACCGAGAGGAAAACTAAGGGGAATTGCTCACTCGCAGACCATTAACCTTCTTGGTATTTCTCTCCCCCCCTCTTCTCCTCTGGCTTTCCTACTTGCAGCAACCACTTGAAAGGAAAGACAGCCAAAACAGCTCTCAGCACAGTGTCTCCAGCCACCATAGCACACACACTGCGTCCCCCGTCCACGGCACTCAGGGGCTTCCTGACTACCCTGCTACTGAAGCACCAGCTGTGGACCAACCAGACAACACTGGGCAAAAGAAGCCAGATCCATTCAAAATCTGGGCCCAGTCCAGGAGCATGTATGAAAGCCGACGTGAGTATCAAAGGAGACCTAATTATTTTTTTATACCAGCTCTCAATAGCAATATTCTTTAGCTATTGAAGCTGTTTGTTTAAGAGGAGGTTTTTCTGAGTTGCAAAAATAAGTATGCCTTTTTGTTTGCTAATATGATGCATGGGTGACTGAAGCTATATGTGTCCGGGGAAGGGGTGGGGATGAAGAGATAAACAAATTACATGTGGGTCGTCATTTTTGGTGGTAGTAAAGAAACTTAGATTGCATTCAATAAGTGGGATTACAATATAACTGTGAAAAGAGCTGGGCAACATTATTATGTTTTCTTTCTATGTTTTCTTCTCCTTTTCATAATCATTTTCTAAATGGATATACAGTGTAAGAAGTTGCCCAAATATTTTCCATGAAAAGAAAGCATATTCCATTATTTTGGCTGAATTCTACAAAACTTTGTGGACTGTGGTCTTGAGACTCAAACCTCCAATCAGTCAATCAATTAATTAAAGAATTAGTGGAAACTTAAACCTCACAGTAATATAGTTTGGCAACTATAGCAGACTTCCCCAACATGGCACCAGCAGATGTACTGGATTACAACTTCCCATACTGTTATCTGGAGGACGTGCTATAGCTTGGGGAAGACTGGTCCTTTGTATTCTGATTCAATTTTCCTTTGTATTTCTGTAGTCCTTTCAAAAATTCCCAATATGACTGTTTGGAGGCTTAAACCAAAGAAATAATTTTTGTAACTTAAAGCAAAGGCCCAAGTTCTTAACTGACCCAAATATTGGCTAGCTGTGCTTACCTTTAATTTTATGTACTATTCCAACATCGCAAAGGCTGAATAGATATAGTGAACATGCTTTATTACAGTTATTAATAGATGCACTCCACTAATAATTCAGTAGGATTTCGATTCTGTGTGAAGCATACAAAGTGTGCTCCAATCAACTTCTTTTCTGAAAGCAAAATCAACACTGTTTTTCTCATCAGTTGCATTCTGTTAGAGTCTATGGAATAGTGGAAGGTGAAACAACTCTAATGTCACATCTCAAAGTGCTACTCAATATATATAGTTGTAGGGTTCAGCCTAGTTTATTGTGCACTAAATGGCCCAACAACAGAATTAGTTTGTATTGTATGCCATTGAAAAAAGAAACAGAGATAGAGACTTTGGAATAGAAAAGGTATTTCAGCAGCATGACCTCTTGTATTTCAGCTGTATCCTCTCCATTTTTCATTTCTTTTGCAGCAGCATGGCATGCGTAACACATATTCAGGGCTTTTGCACATGCTATCCTAGTTTCAAAGACTGAACATGGATAATAAAGGCTGGCATAAAGTCAGTCCAAACATAAAAATGCTTTTTGACAGATACTTTGATCTATGTCCAATATTAGTATTCTTAAATCCTCCAAGAAACATAGCACCCACTAATTTCTAATGCAGTGAAAATGATACTTCCAAGGAAGAGAGTACAAATCTTACTCTTTGGTGATCAGCCATGGAAGATGTTCCTTCTTGAATGCAGCAACATTCCTAGGAAGAGGGTAATATATCCTCACTTCATTCAAATTATAACCACATTTTATAAAACTTAATAAGATTATAATTTCTATTTTCCATTTGTATGCTATAGTAACCTTATTCACATGATTTGAAAAATGAAGTAATTGATTAGGAATGAGAAGTTATTCTAAGACCAAAGCTACATTTTATATTAAATCCGTGCCTGCCATTTAAGCAAGCATTGTTGTTTGTTTAAATTGAGTTTGTTTAAACTCAATTCTTCTGCAAATCTGGACAAATTTACTTGTGACCTGACATCATGGCAGTCTGTGGCAATTGCTCATTGGTTGTCCTGCAACACCAGTGCTGAAAGGAATCACAAGTCTGTGCCATCAGCCAGGGGACCAAGAGCTGTTGTGGGGTTGCACCCCCTGACTCCCAGGAAGAACATTCTGGTATTACCATCATGACCTCCTTCATCAGTCAACAGTCTTCTGCACTAGAAAAAAAGTTTGGCTCCAGTCATCAGTGACTACAGCCTATGATTACAGAACTATGAGGGGGAAAACACTCTGGCTATATTCAATGTACAAGGAAAGATGACCAAGCTTGCCCCCTCCCCTTTCCTTGCCAGAAACAACTCTATACCAGCTGCTAGTTGCTGCTAGTTGCCTTGGGCTATAGAAGTTGCGGGTAAAGGATACTCTGGCCCCATTCATCAGCCAAAGACCCAGTTCTGTTACTATAAATCATCGACAAGGGAAGATCAGCCTGACCCCAACTGGATATAACTACCTGTTTCTAGATTTACTACTCACTCTGTCCTCAAGAAAGGATCTCCCACTTGCATTTTCTTTTCATGCCCCTTCCCTTGTATCTTGTCTTTTTAATTTATAGGCCTGCCTCTTGTGTTTAGTTGATTTGGGTTGCTTTTCGGAGACAATAATTGTCTGCAAAGCATGTTATTAATGCTATATGTCATCAGAAAAATTCACAACTTTGTGAAAGCTGAACATAGACAAGTTCTTGTAGAAAGGAGTAAAATGTGCTTTTCCATTTTGGGGGCCAGTTGTACATTAAAGATAACTCGCTGCTCTGGCCATAGTATTACTGATGACTGTTCTTATGTTCTCATGCTGTTTCTTCCACTGCATGACGTTTTGCATTTCTTCCCTTCCCCCACAGCATGCCTGCACTGTCATTGTCTCTGACCCCCTGCAGTTATTTAGAACCAGCTAAACAGTTAATTAGAAATTAGCTAATTAGTCATTAGGATTAGCTCAGCAGTATTCACGCCAGCCTGTTCTGCTTTAAAAAAAAATGTGCTGGGGAAGGTGCTGCAAGACACTGCTGCTTCCCAGCTTTTCCACCCACATTTTGAAGCAAGGGAAATTGTATACATTTTTGTTATAATTGGTGTATATCTGTTTTACCTTCATTCGTGCAGCTAGAGTAGATCCTGAAAGCTGGTGACTGCTTACTTTGGAAGTTTTCCCTACAAGTCTTCCCTCGGAATGCTTCTTATACATTCTTTCTGTGCTACTTTTTGGATTTCTTTACTAGTTCAGTGGGTGTTGCTGTATCCACTGGAACTGTTTCTTTCTAGCCTTCTATAGAAAACTGCAACAGTCACAGAGTTTTAGATCCAGTAAAAACTTTGATCATTAATAACATTTTTTGATATGTGGGAATGAGCAAAGTTTATACAATCAAGTAATATTTGGGATGTGACAAGGCCTTAGTTTCTAATAGGTCATAGGTATCTGGCTTGACGCTCTTAGAAGCAGGACATTGTCCTGAATCAGAACACCTTTTCTTACTTTCTGAGCTCTGTTTCTTGGCTTAATGGTCTGTCTTGAAGGAGTATGTTCAATGTTAAGAGGAAAGTATAGTTGACTTTGAACCTTCTGATGGCACATATGGGAACCTCCTTATAGGCAATAGATTTAGTTCATTTTTCAGATGTTTTCACTTCTCTTAGCAAATTTCCAAGACTTTGAAGCGGGGTTGAATCCAGATTTAAGCATGAGCAATGAGCAGCGGGCACCACTGCCTCCTCTTCCCTGCGGGCAGCCCATCTGGCCCCTTCCCCACAGTGCTGCACAGAGGATTGCTCCAATCGTGCAAAGTGGATTATGCTGTGGGTAGGAAGATGGGGTCAAGGGATGCTGCTGAAAAGCATATGAAGATGTCTTCCATGAGCAGGGCTCAAGCTAGATCCCTCTCACTATGTTGTCATATGAGACATACAACTAGCTACATACTTTTTCTGTCTAGGCTTCTTTTTACTACTTGGTCTGTTCAACCTAAACCCAGTTTCTGAAAACAAGACAGCTAGCATATTGTGTATTTCTTTACATCCCTAAGTTGTCTTGCTGCAAAATATGTTGGCCATGATACTGGTCACCGGCTAGACTTTTCAGATACAATACCTTCTGTGCTGGCATTGTTCTCAGCGATATCTTAGTATGATAGCTGCCCCTATTATCATTTGGATGGGAATATGTTTTCTGAAAGTATATCTTTTTATTTCTTGTACTGTACATAGAGACATTTTTCTGATGAGCATCTTGTAGTTCTCCCTTTGCTGTGAGTAATCTAGTAATCTAGTCTCATTTCTCATTAAACCAACACTAGAGCTTTTCTGTTAATTTTTAGCAAAGACATCCCTAAAAATATATTAGAGTTGAAAGTAATAAAGGTTTTTATTTGCAAATTGAAGTGTATAGTTTGAGAGCCAGTGTGGTATAGTGGTTAAGAGCATGGGACTGGGACTCAGACGATCTGGGTTCGAGTCCCCGCTCAGCCATGGAGCCAACTGGGTGACTTTGGGCCAGTCACAGACTCTCAGCCCAACCTACCTCACAGGGTTGTTGTTGTGGGGATAAGATGGAGGAGGAGATGTAAGCTACCTTGAACACTTTGTAGGAAAAAGGCAGGGTATCTATCAATCAATCAATCAATCAATAGTTTAACAATGGGATTCACTTCCACAAGATGTGGGGATGGCCACCACTTTGGGTAGCTTTGAAAGGCAACTGGACAAATTCATGGAGAAGAAAGCTAGCAATGGCTACTAGTTCTGGTGGTTATATGCTACCCTCCAGTATAAGAGAAAAGGATGAGGGAAGGGTTCTTTTGCACTCATGTCCCATGGGGAGCTGATTGACCTCTGTGTGAACTGAATGCTGGACCAGGTGTTCTGATCCAGCATAGTCCTCTGAATGTTCCTAAATCTAAATCTGCATATTTTGAGTTGGATTTGTGCTCACCACAACTACGCCAAGCATGTCACTAAAACAGCAGTCCTGTGGTCCCTGGAGAGGGTACCAGGAGCTATGAGCTTTATCTGGAGTTCTCACACTCAGAGCTGTCATCACTCCTAAGAGAGAGGACCACATGATCTGATCTCTTGCTCCCTTCTCACCATACTTTCTGTAAAAACAAATGTACCAGTTGCTTTCTGAGGTTGCAAAAATGGCTTTGCTGGACTTTGTAGGGGTCAAACA